CCGGTGGTGGACCCCCGCATGGAGTACATCCAATGGATGGCTGTCTCACGAGTGCAGAGACCGGCTTCATCAACAGCCAGCCATCTATGGCCGAGTTCATGACGGCTTTGCCTCATCTGACGGGAGAATTGCAGCACCCACCTCCGCCGGGGTCACTGAGCCCACCACCTGGAAGCTACCAAGGGATGGTAGATTCGCACGGACAGCCACCCCCAGGACAACAAGCACCCCCAACCGGAGTCAATGTTCCGGAGTATCCATGGATGAAGGAGAAGAAAACTACACGGAAAAGCAATCAGCAAGGTAAGATAAAGCAACGCCTACCTTTTAGTAACCTAGCGAACACTAACACAGTTCTTGGGTTAACGTGATCTTCTGAAGTTTTATTTTATTGACACAACCCTAAAATGTAGCTTAATGTGATTTCAAATCAAGCTTTATTTCATGAATATCATTACAGACAACTTAGTTTAAAATAAAGGACCTGTAAAGTCTCAAATGACTTTCATATTAAAATATTCTAGCTTCATTTTAAATATTAACTCATTGAATAAGTTCGTTGAAGTAATCAGCGGACGGACACTATTCATTGCGAAATGCTGCGTCAGAACACGTAACTGGCGGGTTACATCTCAGTACGGTGCATGTTGAAATGGGAATATCAAAATTAGTGTTTTGACCCAACACTTATACAATGAAGCATCTTCAAGTAGAAGCAGAAGGGGTGTGGAATTAATTTCGTCTCGAGACGTACGTGTACGTATGTTTAGACGTGTTAAACACATCGGATCAGTCTTTTAGCACCACAGACTTCAGCCCACTTTGTCACTCCGACAAATACTTTTGACTACAGCAAGTTAAACAACATTCATTGTACAAATTAGGATAGACCTAGGGCAGAAGAACGGAGAAACGTTAAGCAGCGAATTTATACACTCAAAATAATGAAGCCTTTTTATTTTACTTCAAGAATGTAATTAATCACTGGGCGACGTAACTAATAGTTAGACCTAGAGGTCAGTAGGAAGAATGTTAATCATTACTACTGTGTGGGTATTCTGATACCCTGGACAACAAAGAAGAAACTCTTCATATCTGGGGAACAATTTAAAATGGGTTTTTATACGATATTAATGCTAATTACCTTCATCACATGACAATTATTTTCAGTAGGATTTGCGATTCTCACAGCGGTGAGTACGAAGATGTCTGACTTGTGAGTTGTAGCGCCGTGTAGTCTGGTAGAAGTTTACTAATATTTCAGAGGTCCCCACTGCCTTATAGCCCTGATGATGGAGGCAACAAGAACTTCTTGAACGTTGGTAAACGTCTACCAGACTACACGGTGCAGTAAGCCACAAGACAGCTATATTCGTAATTAAAATCCTGTTTAATTTCTAATAACTCCATTGTGCGTTTAAACATATGATTTGCGGCAATGATACTATGTAAAATTATAATTATGATAAGTTAATCCAAGTCAAACTCGGTACGAACAGTATCACAATTTATAATATATTACAACCCCGGAATTTTTTATCGATTTAAAAAAAATACTAAGACATTGGGTGGGATTTAAATAGGGACTGTTGAATAAGCTTAGAATACAGACATGTTAGGCAATATGTGGTGAACAAAAAAATATAGGCAGCTTTTGAATGATATCATCTGCACGAAAGAAATTGTAGCTGAAGATTATAAAGTGCTAAACATACTCTTATTAATACTTATAGGAAAAAGGATATTTTTTAGTTATATGACGTTTTAAAACCATATTAGTCACTGATGAGAAATATTTTGCCAGTGTACAAATATGGGGATATTGTTGCTGTTATCGCTATTATTATTGTTATTATTAATTGGTCTGTAATTGGCCGTCTGGCTGTTGATGCAGCACTCTAAAAAGCCTTTCTTTCGTGAAACCCTCTGCTTGTTGTCTGGCACGAGACTACAGTTGTTACAGAACGCTCTAGTTCAGTATTTATTCTTCTCTCTAGTTAGAAATATTTTTAACTTATGTTTCATTAGTTATATAAATTAAATTATTTTAGAAATGTACAAAATTCAGTAATATTAATTATTGGGAAGAAGGTGCTTACTACGTTTTAGATATTTTGCTCGAAATTCTTGTTCAGTGAATATTTTTGATCTTCTGTCTCAAAACAGATATAAAACACAGTAATTTACTAAGTTTAAAATGGAGAAGTATGTACTGCGTACCTATGTGGGGTCTGCCCTCTTATTGACGAATTAAATGGTAATGAAAATCTTGATATTTTATGTATTATTTAAAATTTATATATTATTGCTAATTCTCTTTGACATTTTGTTCCACTGACAATAGGATATGATAAATTAAGATAATATAATAAGTAATACAACTTTTAATTGAATACAATTGCTCGTAGTTTCAGTCAATTCTCTCAGTCGAAGATAGCGAAATTTGTTCACCACTGCATTTACTGTCATTCACTTCAAAAGTATAGATTCTGTTAAGTTATTCTACACTTCACTTGCCCTTTGCAAGTTTATGCTGTCTGAATGCCTAATACTCATTCTATGTTAACATTTAAGTTGAAAGACAATTTAGTTGTCTCTATACGGTTTGAAATCCTAGAGACATCATCAGTATAATCGCTTTTATGTGCAGGAAGGACCATAACTGTCAACCAAAAATGTCGTAAGCCACATATCACAAACACCAATTGGCGATAGGTGTTGACGTATCCTTATGTCCTACTTATAGTTTTGAAACCCACATATACCACAGACCCACCGATCTGTCTTACTGAGGGGGCAGAGAGGGTTGTTGCGGCCACGAGGTCCTACTCCATCCTCATCTATCAACTTACCCCCTTCTCCTTACTCCCTCACAGAATATTTACCACCCTTCCAAAGCCAATATGAGATCAATCAAGTCATTTTCCTCACCATCTCGCAAGTATAACCTCTTTTGTCCACTATTCCGTGTTCTGTCATCAATCTATATGTCAATATAAAAATGTTTTTAATAATTTATTTTATTTTCGAATGTGTAAAGAATTTACAGATTAATTTTTTTTAATATTGTAGAAATTTCTTAAGTTTACTTTATAAATACAAAATAGTGTTTGAAGAACACGAATTTTTTTACTGATTCAGTTCGATCTGATTGAAGATACAGCTGAAGAATGCATTTTATTAAGCAAAACCTTAAGCCAGTAGCCTATATATTTAGTGAATCAAAGCAAAACTATATTTTTCCATGACATAAGCAGAAAAGTTTCTTAAATAGAACATAACTTAGGTATAAATTATAATACAACAGCCCTATTCAACTTAAGCAATACTTGTGTCAATAAATAAGCACATATTTTAGCATAAAGTACGTCGACTGAGCTTTGTCTAATAATAAATATATTAAGAAAACGACACGTATCACATTTTGCATTTTGTATTTAAGTTGCATAATGTGCGAAAGATAGAATATTACCACTGAAGGAAAACAAATTTTGCAATTTTATGTAATGTATAATTACAATTCATGATTTATAATAACAGAGAAACAGCAGTCTTGAATTTATAATTACAGAAATTCGATAAACGTACGAAAATTCTAACAATAAAAAGCTGAAATAATATGAATGCTAAAAATTTATAAATTTTTCTGTATTTTCATAATTTCGCCTAAGGCAAACATTTTAATTTTAAATGAAAGTGTAAATTACGTTTCCATGAGTGCATAAATGTTACTTCGAACTGCTATAACGGAGATTGTTGAATTTAGACACAAGACTCCGCAGACAGCGGTATGTGTAGAAACATTGGTATTGCTGACTACTAAATTGTGGCATGTCCACAATCACACAACTTCTAACTTAGCTATTAAACATTTGTTTTTATATTTTGAAACAAGTACATGGTATTGATTGTTTTCCTTATTCCTACCTGAATTATTTATCATTCATAAGCATTTTGTTTTAAAAACGTAGCAGATATACTGTTCAAAATTTAATCATGAATAAAATTTGTCTGATTACCAATTCGACTATAAATTAATAACTTTTCCGTCGTGAGAATTTTTCAGTCTTCGTTTATTTGTTTTGAAATTTACCAAACATATATTTAAATCTCCTTTTAATAACGAAAACGTAAACGTACATAAAATAACTTTAATAGAAAGATATGATATATATTTACGAGACATTTTGTTCGTTTGGGTAGAAATTACGGTAAAACATCAAACACAACTTCAGCCTAAATAATATAAGCGTCAATAAGTCAAATCCAATATATGTGATAATTTTATAATTTCCCAACTACCCGAATATTAATAAGTTAGGAATGTTACAGACCGTATTATAATGATCGTATAGGTAACTTCTTTTCGTAATAAATCAATGAAAATTTGATAATAAATATAAGTAAATTTCCTTTAATTAAGAATTATCATATTATACTTTTTGCACCTTTATTTCTGGACGTAAAGAGATATATAGCGATATACATTTTCTGTCTCTGCAGCAGATTTCGTGAAATAATGTAAGAATGAAATTACGGTAATGCTGACTGCGGCCACACAATCCTCTGTGTTTCTGCCCAAAGTCTTGCGGGCAGTTTGCGTTACGCACCCTCATAATTCATCCACCCTCATGGACTTTCCTCTTTTTCCCCTCCATCCCTTTTCTGATGGCCAGAAAAATGAAGTCCATAATACAGGTGGGTTCTTGGTATAGGGATATGCTTCATCTTCCCTTCACAATAGCCATGTAACATGCGACTTTTCGGGAAGTAGTCAGTCGATATCATCGCAATTCGTGATACCTTGCGCATGGTTCAAAATCATAATTTAATTATCTACGCTTAGGAACTAGTCGGTTTTCGTTACTGGAAATAAATTTAACCTATATCATGTATATAAAGTAAAATATTATTATTATTTGTAATTTCCAACGGCTGAAATCTAACTCGAAGTAAGCCAATTATTCAAAATTGAACAAATTTTGGTACGTGAAAATGACGAAATCCTATGAAAAGTATCAGTTGATTCGCTGTATTTTTCACGTTTCATGTGCCATTATATATAAAAGCGCACGCACACACACCGACACAGTTGAAGTTTCAATTTCTTGTTGTTATGTTTGGTGATCGATATTAATTCATCAGTTTTAAGACGTTTGCAGTTCCAAAGAACGTGAAATTGCAAAATCAGCCGAAAATTGTTAACATGAGACGACTTCCTATCCTCTAAGAAAATCTAATAAATTTTGATAGAACTTAGATTAACTATAATGTTTTCTAAATTATTATACTTAAGACTAAGA